TTAAAGAATTGCCTTAAAATCTACATTTAAATGCGCTTTACATATGAGAACTTTTAAATTTGTAAGTTTATATATTTTTGAAACAAAAGCAATATTCCAGTTTGATTCTTTTTAAATGTGTATTTGTAGATTCATGGCAAAGTGATCGACCCCCGTCTGAAAGACGCGCGGGAACGTGATTTATTGAGAAAGGGGGAGGGGGTAATTTTCCGTTATTAAATCAAAACTTGTCGTACAAAAATTATGCAAAAAATTATGAAAACTATTTTTACTACCAGCTACCTAAAGAAATTTTTTACCAAAATTAAACGACAGGTTTTTTCACAAAAAAATTTTGAATTTGAAAAATACACAATTTTCAAGGCTTAGATAATTCATAGTTTTTCAGTTTAAGGCCTTTAAAAATTGTTTTGATGATATGTATATCAAAAAGATGACTATGTTTTTTGTGTTAAATGGTTAAAGGAATAAGCCAACGAAATTTGACATTTATTTCTAACCTGGCTTTTTTTGAAAATCAAGGTTTAAGTAGTTCATTGATTAAAAATCTTCTCTCCTTGTAAACAAATAAAGGGGGGTAACTTTTGGAAGTTCCTGTCCAAAAACCACTCGAACGATTTTTTCCAAAATGTGCATACATGCAGTAGATATAGTCATGTACTAAATATACAAAATTAACGAAAATTAAACGACAGGAATTTTTTGGGGTAGGTGTGTTGTACATCCTTAAACGCAATAATCGTTCTAAAGATTCATTATATTTTTAATCACAATGAAATAGAGCTGTAGATTGAAATCAGACATCGCTTAGCCAAAGATAATAATTAATATTTTGGTTCAATTCTTCAAAGAAAAACAGTTTGGTACGGAAGCGTAAATGGCTCTACACTTGTTGTGTTATAACTCGATATATAATCTTACTTTTTTTTGTCTTTTTGACATATAATGTGTTATGACTATTTACTTTTACTTATATGTTGTGTTATATTTAAATATTTTTACATAATTTAAAGCGTGTTTTTTTCTGTTTGATAGTTTTTATTGCTAAAAATTAAATCGACTGAACAAAACATTGATTTGAAAAATAACGATATAAGAATGCAATGTAATCACATCCATATATTTATTTAGACATGTTGCAATAAAAATATATACTTATTACTTTTATCGATAAAAATATGTCAAAATGTTCTGAAAAAAAGTAATGTTGTCGAATTAATTTCGCGGGCGCGCCAAAACGTCACGTGAATAAGATGTCTGTGTAAGGCAATGTTGTGTCAGCAGCCGTTAATCTTTCCAAAACACGTAAGTACAGTTTGATTTAAGCATTTAAAGATTTCTAAGCAATAGTTTTACGTAGTTGTGCATTAGAGTATATAGTGAAATATACTCAACAGATTTATGCCCCCCTTCGAAGAAGGGAGGGCATATTGCTTTGCTGCTGTCTGTCGGTCTGTCGGTCCACTTAGTTTCCGTTCATTTTCTTCGCAACCATTGCACATACTGAAATGAAATTTGGTATACAGATATATCACATAAATATCTAGGTCAAGTTCTGTTTTGGGTACAATCGCACCATTTTTGAGAGTTATGTCCCTTGGACTTAGAAAAATTCCAATTATTTGCAGTTTCCATTCATTTTCTTTGCAACTGTTGCACATACTGAGATGAAATTTAGTATACAGATTTATCAGATGAATATCTAGGTCAAGTTCTGTTTTGGGTACGATCGCACCATTTTTGACAGAGTTATGCCCCTTGGACTTAGAAAAATTCCAATTATTTGCAGTTTCCATTTTCTTCACAACCATTGCACATGCTGAGATAAAAGTTAGTATACAGATTTATCAGATGAATATCTAGGTCAAATTCTGTTTTGGGTACGATTGCACCATTTTTGACAGAGTTATGCCCCTTGGACTTGGAAAAATTCCAATTTGGGATAGGGAGGCATAAGCTTTTTACAAACACCTCTTGTTTTTTTTAATTTCGAACTGTTTGGAGGGGGGTGAACGAATATGTATACTGGTGTCTCATTATAACGTGCTACAATGAAATTAAATGCCCACTAAACTATCGTTGGCCTAAGATTAAAGTGCCAAATTTTTTTCTGTTATATGCATTATAAGACCGGTTGAGCCACAGTCTCATCAAACTTTTCTGGTTAAAATTGTTTAGAGATATATACCTTTACCTATGGAGAGAACAATCATGGGCATACATGCCTGTGTTTCAATCAAATTCAAAGATTTGAATAAATTATATTGAAAGCAGCTTAGCTAGAAATAGAATGCAATTTACATAAATGTACTTTAATTTTGTTCTAAATGAGTTTCACTTAGTATCATTTATGTTATCACTGCACAGAATGCATGCAAATAAATCATTCAAACCTTTTAATCATTGTGACAGATCTGCAGTACCCTGGGCCTGGATGTAAAGGAAAATCTCAAGAAAATCTCTTTTATACGAAACTGGTTCTGTATTGCCTTTATCATACCCCCCTTCCACTGTTTTACCCATGCGTGTCTGTTCGTCTTTGTGTCTGTCGGTAACAAATTTTTGGTGGCAGTTTTCTCCGCAACTACTCATCGCAGATGCTGTAAATTTTTGCACACTGTTGAGGCATGCCATATGGTGGGGATCTTTTTTGTTCAATTCTGAGGTCAACTTCCTGTTTATCAGTGTGTCTGTCCATATACATAACAAACTTTTGTCACAGTTTTCTCTGCAACTGTTCATTGCAAGTAATTGAAATTTTAGCACATACTTTTTAAAGGCATACAATATGGTTGAATTTATTTTTGATCACATCGGATATCATCTTCCAATTAATCCAGGCATCTGCCTGTAATTGAACATGTGTAGACATGTATCAACTAGATCGTGTATGTACATATTGACAATAAGAGCGGTCCGGGTATTACTAGTAAGTTCACTAGTCTGAACATTTATTGGTGCAATTTCATAACATCTCTAGCCCTTGTGTCAAAAGTTTAGGATTCTAGGTGGGATTCTGTTCATCATGTTGTGAAAATGTGTACTGTAAAACAAGTCTTATCTAAACGTTGTGTATTCCGAAATGTATTATATCAAATGCTGTGTATATCTGTTGTTTAAGGGCCTTAAATTGGTTTATACACTCTCATCCGAAGGACGGGGCACTTTATATGATGTTAACTTCCTAAGTCACTTTCAGATGTTCCAGTAGATTAAAATGTCTATCAATTGTTGTCATATCAATGTTGAGGGGAACAAAAATTGTGAATTTCATGGTCCCCGCCCCCCTGGGGCCTGAGGGGTGGGGCCAAAACCAATTAAATTATTGCAATCTTTAAAAATTTTCTTCTTTACACCTGGACATCAAACAGGCAAACTGTTGGCATGAATGTAATGAGCATTGAGTTCTCTACCAAAATTGTGAAATTCATGGCCCCAGGGTCAGCGGTTCTAGTACTAGGGCGGGTCTCTATAGATTATACAGTGAAAATGCATTATTTCTTTGAACATCTTCTCTGCCCCTGGGTATTAAATAAACTAACTAAGCACATAGTTATGATGAGGAAGAGTGCCTCTTCCAGACTTGTGAATTATATGGCCCCAGCGTCAGTGGTTCCTTTGGAGTGAGGTGCACAACTGGGTATAAAGTGGAAGTGCATTTTCTCTTTGTTACTCTGATCTACCTCTGGGTATTAAGTAAATAGAGTAAGCATGCTAACTTTATAATTATGATAAGCAGTGGTGCCTCTTTCAAAATTGTGAATTGTGAATTTCATGGCCTCTGGTTTAAAACACGAACCAAATTTAATCGTTTGAAAGTTGTTACACAATACTCAGGTGACCTATAAGGCCTGTGGGCCTCTTGTCTAAAAAATGATTGGAAGGATTGGTCTGCATAAAAATTTGTACACTTATTATTCACCATCCGAAGGAGTGTACCTGGCTTTCACCCTGATTTATTGCAAAACATTAAAGTTGGTTCTGGATTTATTTTTCTCAACTACACAAAAAACAGATTTAAAACTAAATACTTATGTTAACATCTGCACTAAGCATGCTGGACTGAATAATTTTGTCACTTTAACTAGCAGCATTAACTATATTAATATATCTAGGATAAAATTTGGAAGTTTTCTTTTTCTCTCTCTTTTTTTTTTTGACACCTGCACCAAGTGTGTTGGACTGTATCATTTTGCAAATTGAATTGGCAGCATCATAAATTTATAGGCTAAAACTTGGAAGGTTTCAATTTCAGGCCCAGGTAGACTAAAATCAATGGTTACAAGAAATATGTTGCTGTGGAAATAGTAATTAAAACAATATGTACTAAGAAACATGCAATTAGCAAGCAATACTTTGAGAAGACAGTGAAAAAAAATCAAGACCATAGTTTCGATGTGCAATATTAATATAGACTTTTTTCAGTGGTTGGCACCATAGTTTTCTGGTTATTCATCTAAATTTTTTTTAGACCAGCCAGGTACAGATCTGTAGGTACACCCCCCCCCCCTGAAAAAATAAGATTAAATCTATTTTGGTTCAACATATCTTTTTTTTTTGAAACTTTGGTTACCAATACTAACTTTTTATATTTCAGGAAAACACAAGCCATTAAGAGTACCAATTGGATGGCTAAATTACAGCTACAGTTAAAGACGGTATATTCAGGTTAAAAATACTGTGAAAAAGCAAACAGGGACAACAACAATTGTACTACCCCGCCATGCCGGATACGAAGAAACAAAAACAAGTCTTGAAGAAGAATATTTCCCAGGAGGGAAAAGTTGATGAGGAAAGTTGGTATGCATGGAAACTCAATTGGGAACTTTTAAAGGGAATATAATATATATATATATATATATATGGCTATTTCTCATGATAAAGAATTTGTTAAATTTACATAGCTGGAAATCCTTGATTGGAAATAACTTATATAGCTATATTCATAAATCTGCAACATCTTTTTTGGACATTAAAATTTGGATGTGTTTCTCAGCTCATGCAGAATTATGACTTATTGACTGATACGCATTCTACCGATTCTGATGATTCAGTCTTCCTGCCTAGACTGAAATTTACAAGATCAAAGAGAAAAAAAACAACAGGTATGACTTGAATTGATTTCATTCTCATTTTTAATAGATTACCCGGACCAAAATAAAATTATTGTTTGTTTGGAATTGCCTCCCGCCTCATTAAAATGCCCACACCTGAAAAATGTTTATTGACCAAAAGTCGAAAGATTTTTTTTTTTGATTAATCAATTTGTTTGCTTGTTTATTTCGCATGCCCCTCACAAAACACTCAAATGTAGTGTCAGATCTATGCAAAATTAAGTTTCTTTGTTGATGGTAGATACTTTTTATTTTAAAGTCAGAAAATGAATTTACTGTTTACTGAGATTTTTATTTAAAAATTTAAAATTAATCTTCAATGTTGAAAAAAAAATTCCTTCCCTCCTGTGTCTGACACCCTTCAGGTGGCAATTGCAAACATTTTTTTTTAAGGCTGGCCCTGCAATAAACAGTGTTCCAGCTAAGGGTTAACCTCTGCAGTGCCCCCCCCCCCCCCCCTTTCCTGGTTATCCTCTGTCCTTGGATAACGTACTCTTGATCTGCTTATAATAATATACTAGTGTGATTTAAATCAGATTACCTAATTAAAGGACACTTGGAAATTTTCACACCTAGCTGCACTGCATGGCTTCAAAAAACGCACATTACTTTAGTCCAACTGAAAGTTTGAAACACATATGTAATACTTAAAGAAATTCTGAGCAAGCACAGTGAATTGAATTTATAGTGACCAGAAAACATATATTAAAGTCCTGGCATTCCTTTTTATATTTATATCTAAAAATATATATATTTTTTAAATGATGATTGGGCTGATATTTGATACAAAAGACAGTATTCAGAAAAAGAACCTGAAAAATATTGATTAAAGCACAAAATTTTACAGCTTAAATTATACCCACACAAACAAAGTTTTTCGGGGGGTTATATTGGAATCAGCTTGTCCGTCCCCGTCTGAAGATGAGATTAAATTGTTTATTACTTTTTAAAGTATTATCTTTTATTTGTTGTGTTTTAATCTGCTTGAAATTTATTTTGTATAATTGTCATTACTTTTTAGCAAATACATATGTACATGTATATTATTTTTTAGATAGTGACAATGTGATGAGTTATACCTACTGTCATTCTGGGGCGGGACCCAGTACCCTCCTTTCTTCAACTAGCCATACCCCATGTTCACTGTCAACAGCTACACCAACAACAACTGCTGCAATAGCCGTTTGCAATCCACTGATTGGTATGCTTATAGGAAAATCTTGAATTTTTTAAAATCTGACATATCTGAAGTTTAAACAATAAGATTTAGTGAACAAGACCACATGCTGTGTTATGAATTGAAATTAATTATCTAAATACTTTTTATTCTTTATTTCAGACAACGCATCAGGCAGTCAAAACAAGAATATTTCTACATCTCAGCAGCCTGGTCAGCAGTGGCTTCCAGCTGGAACCCCAACAGTATGTTCTGTTTTAAGCTCACCTGAGCTGAAAGCTTAAGTAAGCTTTTCTGATCACCCAATGTCCATAGTCCGTCTGTCCATCCATCCGTCTGTAAACTTTTGACATTTTCAACTCAATTCTTCTCAAGAACCACTGGGACAATTTCAACCAAACTTGATGCAAAGCATTCTTGGGTAAAAGGGAGTTTAAATTTTAACAAGAGGCCCAAGGGCCTTGAATCGCTCTTCTGATAAATTATACAATCTATCCTAAGACCCTTGAAGATGCATCAACTGACAAAGTTTGATGATTCTTAGCCAGTTAGGACTGAAGATATTTAACTGTAACTATAAAATACTATAAGTAGGTCATGACGTCATGGGCGCGTCCATTTACCCAAGAAGGAACAAAACTGCCTGAAATGCTAATCTAGATGATTGAGGTCATATGCGAAAAGAAAACAAAGACAAGTTAATAGAATTCAAGAAAATTTAAAACGGGTAGGTACAAATACTTGTACTCGTATCTAAACGTAATATCGTTTTCTCTAGTTAATTGTGTATGATTGTTTTTTTTAGTGTTCCTTTTGGATAAATGGACCGCCCGTGACGTCACGTCATGGCGTCGTGGACAACGGTTGCACTCCTTGTGTTATTATTATAGGTATTACGTATCTTTTTTATTTACCGAAAATTTCCGCAAAATTGATAGGTACGCGAACTCCTGTGATGAAAATGAATTTATTTATTTAGTCTTCTTCTTCTTTTCGAGAATAGTCCGCCGAAATATGGCTGAAAAATTGCCGACTCGGCGTTAAACAATATACAATCAATCAATCAATCTTCTTTTCGTTCGCCTAATCACACTTGAGTCCCTGTCTTCTCTACAAATCTGGTGGTCTTCTGTAGGGCTTCCACTGGTCCATAAAGCTTCTCTTGTAGCGTTTTTGGTGTTGGCCATGTGTTGTTTCTCAGTGCCTGGTGTATTCTGCAGTGTTGTAGGAGGTGTTCTGTATTCTGCTCAGCTTCTCCACGTGGACACATCGGTGATGGTATGACTTTCATGACTCTATGCAGATGTTGGTTGAGTCTGTTGTGTCCTGTCCTAAGTCTGAAGATGATCGTCTGCTCAGGTCTAGCCAGTTGGTGATAGCTGTCTTGTTGTTGAGGGGTTCTGTATAGAGATGTGATGATGGTTTTCATCTCTGAGAAGCCTACTTGGTTTTCATATTGCTGTTGTTTGGCTCCTTCCTTTTCTAGCAGATCAGCATTTTCGTTTCCCTTGATTCCGCAGTGAGATGGTATCCATTGTAATGCTGTTTGAAGGCTTTCGATGTTGTGTAGATCTTGTTCAAGTTCGGGGAGTTTACCGTTGTTAATGGCTTGCAATACAGATAGGGCATCTGTCAGGAATACTACACTTATTGTTTTGTTGGCCTTGTCTCTGATGGAGCGTACTGCATGGGTGATGGCTTCTTCTTCGGCTTTGTAGTTGGAACAATGAAGGCCTGTTGGTATTGCCTCTGACTGTTTTTCTCCGTTTGGGTATTCGATGTAGATACCCGCTCCTCCTTCTGTTGTTGCATTTTTGGCTGATCCGTTTGTATAAACTCTAATCAAAGATGTTGAGGGGTACTGTTCTTCTATCATACTGATTGTGAACGTTTTTTTTTTTGACCAAATCTGATTGTTCGTTTTTAGCAGTGATTTGTGGGACTGAGGTGTGTATGTTGACATTTCCAGTTTTCTCTGCACAGGGGCTAGCTGTAAGTGTGATCTCTATTGGTTTAACTAGTTTGGCAGAACGTCCTGATGTTTTCGCTGTAGTGCCCGAGTCTCAAAGGCAAAACTAGATCTTTTGAGTCTACCAGAGGATAGTTGTTTCATTCTCTGGCTCATTGGATGATCCTGAAGGCATTGATACTTGGTGGCCTGTATCATAGCTTTACATTCTCTTCTCTTATTTAATGGTGGTATGTTGGTAATTTCTTCCATGCTTGCAATTGGTGTTGATTTTATGCCTCCTGTGATGATACTTAATTCCTGGTTCTGGACTTTGTCTAGTGTCTGTAGGTGACTCTTGGATGCTGTTAACCATGCACTAGATCCGTACTCAAGAGGTGGTCTTACGTTATCTTGGTAGACAATACTGTTTCATTTGCGCCCCAGCTTGTTCCTGCCAGTTTTCTCATGACGTTAAGTTTTCTCCTAGCTTTAGCTTCTGCTGACATTATGTGCTGTTTCCATGTCATTCTTTTATCAAAAGTTATCCCAAGGTATGTTTGCTGTTCTTCCATTTTGATTTGAGTATTGTCCATGGTAAGAGTGATGTTTTGAGTTTTAGGCGATAGTGTGAAGAGAGTTCCTGTTGTTTTTTCTCTGTTGATGGTAACACACCATTCTCTTGCCCATGTCTGTAAACTTCCTTCCTGTGCTTCCAGGATCAGGACTTTTGTTCAGAAGCTAAGGGCGACGTAACCCCGACAAAAACCTAGAGTGTTGAAGTCGGCGATGATGGGCTATACAGCACACTCTAACGGACCACATCATCACGCACAAACAGCCACTATGACACTATTTATTTAGTTAAATAGTTTTATTTAGTTGTTAGTATTCCTGTATTATAAAATTTGATTGACCCTGCTACAGCTAGAGTATAATAAAGCTTCGGGGAGCAGTTAAATTATTTTATCAAGTTTGCATCAATCATGTTTAAATGTTAATGCATCAATCATGTTATGAAGTTTGCATTTATCATGTTATAAAGTTTGCATTTATCATGTTATAAAGTTTGCTTTATCATGTTATAAAGTTTGCATTTATTAAGTTATAAAGTTAGCAATTTATCGTAATGCTGTAAAAGTGATTACCGGGTATTTAAATCGGGGTTACTAATTCAGCCACTTGCTTTACTGCAGAAGTCTGAATTAGTTTATTAATATTGTGAGAGTATGTTTAGGGGAATTTGACATACAGAAAAACTTTCCATTTTTCCCACAATAAACACTTCTACAGTATTTGTTTATTTATATGTAATTCAAAAGTATTTTATTGCTTCTGTTTTCACTAACCTCTCAGAAGAGACATACATGGCAAAGTAGTAAATTAAATTGAATAAGAGATATAGCGCAATCAGCTGTTCCTTCCTTCAAGGGTTTGTAAACCAATTAACTGATTTTATACTTCTTAAATGAAAAATAAGTTATAATAATGTATATAAAAATGATGAATCTTATCTGCACACAAAAAATTTAAAACTATATGTGTTCAAGAGCCAACAAATGCACACAATGATTATATCACAAAGATAAAAAAATCTCATTGCATAAAAAAATCTATTAGACTCTTCATCGATCAATCTATTTCTAGAAAAAGAATCACTGATATTAGTTAACAAAAAAAAACTTACTTTAAATGTCTGCTTCTTATAATATATTTCAGATACTTGAACGCTTGAATCAGGTGCATATAACTTCGTCTCACGAAACCAAGAGGTTTTGGGGAATACTCAACAGAGAAAATCATTCAAGGCATTGCAGAAGGAAAAGACGGAAAGCTGAATGGTGACAATTTAGATCTCTACGTTACCACTAACGATGTCCGGATGGACAGTAGGAACCAAGATTACCACTTCTTTGCAACTGATTTAACTTTTGATAGAGTTAATATTCGAGATCTTGATGACAATTAAGTTTATTATACAATTTCATAGTTTATTATACAATATCAAATTAGTTTGAAGTTGCATTTTCTCAAATTCATTAAATAAGTTAGGCTAGTTACTTAAACTATTTAAGGCGATTCCTTTGCCCAGTTCTCAAGAGACAGATGACTGCTTGATCAGAGAGAAGTTCTACCAGTTAGCTCCTTACACTAAACTACTAGTAATTAATTTCTAATTTGACATGCAATTTTCTGTTATCAAAATTCTCCTTGACCAGAGCTTGATAACTATACCCTAGGGAGAGGTAGATTTTCTCTCATAAAAATAACATTTTTTATGGATTGCTGTAAAGTATATAATGAATTTTTTTTTCTTAATTTAACGTTTTAAATAGGGATATTGCACTAGTCTTACATTTTTTGGGATTGTGTAATTCAATAGTAAAGATCGTTTGTTAGGTTAAAGTTGACAACAGAGAAACAGGACGAGCACAATATACCCCCGAGATCTTTTGACCCAGGGGATTTATATAAACAAGAGGCCCAAGGGCCTTAACGGTCACCTGAGTACAACAATTAAAGTATCCACAATCGAATAAATTAAGCTTTCTTGCCCAAAAGCAGGAAAAATAAAATGAGTTGATTTAACAAAAAAAGTAGCATAGTATCTAACCTGTCCTCCATTTATTACTATCATCATGAAACTATTTATATATATATTTTTTAATCCTACATTCTGACCCCTCATCATCAAAACAATGAAAACTACCTTTTGTGTTATAATACAATAGATGTTCTTGCATGATTTTCTGTACTTATACTTTCAAATACATAATTTACACTGATCAAAGTCGAATATATATATATATATATATATATATATATATATATATATATATATATATATATATATATACATTAGTAGAGTACAAATAAAACCCTTGGCAGGACAAGAACACTTTTATTAATGGTCAAGGTGTTCAAAATTCTGGTAAGAACACATTTGCTTATTATAACTTTAACTTGTTTGCCTCTAGTGTGGCTACAATGTCATGGGTTCTCTCAAAAGAAAAAACTTATGGAAGTACCAAACAATTTAAGTAGATCTCCATTCCATTGACTTCAAGATAATGAAGTTTATCAGCATACCCGGTATGTAATTGTATCACAGGACAGCAAATTTAATGATATTACAAGTTATTTCATTTTTCTTTTAGAGTTATTACAGGTCATCTGCAGGTCATGAATGCATTTTTATAATAAAATAGACAAAAAAACCCAAAGTATTTATACATGTACGTGTATCTACTTTATTGAAGAAATACAGACAAGTTTGTAACAATATTTTGATGTTTCA